TTAGAGTCCCTTGGACTGTGAGGAGATCCAACCAGTCAATCCTAAAGGAAATCAATCCTGAATATTCATTGGAAGGACTGATGCTGAAGCTGAAGCTCCAATACTTTGGCCAACTGACACAAGGAGCTGACTCATTTGAAAAGACCCTGATGCTGGGAAAGATTGAAGGTGGGAGGAGAAGAGGATAACAGAGGATGAGATGGTTGGATGGCATCACCGACTTGGTGGACGTGAGTTTGAGCAAGCTTTGGGAGTTGGTGATGGACAGGGAAGTCTGGTGTGCTGCAGTCCATGGGGTCGCAAAGAGTCAGACATGACTGAGTGATTGAACTGAACTGACCTGAACTACCTCAGTCACTATTCACAGCTCAAAGGTTTTTCTCTTTAAGCTTTCTTCCCCCACTAAACTCCCAGATGAACCAGCCCATGATGCATCCTGGTAGCAAGTCAGTAAAGACAGACAGAAAGCGTGCATATAAGAGACAGGTTGTGCGTCTGGTTCACATTCCCGTCCAGGCTGCTGGCATCACCACTGACCTGGCTTCTGGTGCTAGTGGTGTCCAATCTCTGGTTCTATTTTTCAACAGGTTTAAAGTTTGCTAAGCATCTCACTGGGCAGTCTCTCCATTACCTCTTACTCTCAGGAGAAAGGTTGTAGATTGCCACCTCAGCTCCCAGGTAGTTGTCCACACAGCCTCTATATTGGGTCTCTTCATCCTGTTGTAAAGCCTTGGAGGTAGCAAGCCAGTCTAGAGCCTCAGGTATTTTCTTTAGCCTGCTCTGGGCCTCAGGAAAACCTATCAGTATCAACTTTGACAAGCTCAGCTCTTCGGAAATCTAAGAGCTATCTTTGTCTCCTCTAATAGACTACATCCTGCCCATTTTCTGCTCTTCTTTTCCCAGTTCCAGGGGTGGGTTATACCTGTAGGTTTTGCCTCTGACAGAGCTCTAGACAAGAAGCTAATACCAGGGTCTATATTAAATACTTTTAATTCCAAAAGAGAATTTGGGGAGACCCTAACTTTAGAGTGGGATGGGACAGGTAGAACATTCTCCTCTCCCCGCATGAGGCAATGAAGTGAAATGAAGTCCCTCAGTCATGTCCGACTCTTTACAGACCCCATGGACTGTAGCCCAACAGGCTCCTTCATCCATGGAGTTTTCTAGGCAAGAGTACTGCAGTGGGTTGCCATTTCCTTCTCCAAGTGAAAGTGAAGTCACTCAGTCGTGTCTGACTTTTTGCGACTGTAGACTACCAGGCCCCTCCGTCCATGGGATTCTCCAGGCAAGAATACTGGAGTGGATTGTCATTTCCTCCTCCAGGAGATCTTCCCAACCCAGGGATCAAACCTGGGTCTCCCGCATTCCAGGTAGACGCTTTAACATCTGAGCCACCAGGAGGCAGTAGGAAGGTATAAAACATCTAACGTTAATGTTTCTTAAACTCTGCCTGACCACAGAAATCTCCATAGTCCATCCACTTGGCATAGATTCTCTTTTGATGTGATCAATCATATTTTCTCACATCTGGTGGGATCAACATCCTGTCTAGATTGCCTTTGTCCTCAGAGATCCTGAGTGGAAAACGAAAAAAATAAGCTCAGTATTTCAATGCCTGAAGTTATTGTAATGAGTAAATACTTCATATCAGCTTAATTCAGTTCAGTTATTCAGTCATGTCTGACTCTTTGCGACCCCGTGGACTGCAGCACACCAGACTTCCCTGTCCATCACCAACTCCCAAAGCTTGCTCAAACTCACGTCCATCAGGTCAGTGATGCCATCCAACCATCTCATCCTCCGTTGTCCCCTTCTCCTCCTGCCTTCAATCTTTCCCAGCATCAGGGTCTTTTCAAATGAGTCAGCTCCTTGTGTCAGTTGGCCAAAGTATTGGAGCTTCAGCTTCAGCATCAGTCCTTCCAATGAATATTCAGGATTTATTTCCTTTAGGATTGACTGGTTGGATCTCCTCACAGTCCAAGGGACTCTAAAGAGTCTTCTCCAACACCACAGTTCAAAAGCATCAATTCTTCGGTGCTCATCTTTCTTTATTGGTCCAACTCTCACATCCATGCATGACTACTGGAAAAACCATAGCTTTGACTATCTGGACCTTTGTCAGCAAAGCAGTGTCTCTGCTTTCAATATGCCCTCTAGGTTGGTCATAGCTTTTCTTTCAAGGAGCAAGTGTCTTTTAATTTCATGGCTGCAGTCACCATCTGCAGTGATTTTGGAGCCCCCCCAAAATAAAGTCTGACACTGTTTCCATTATTTCCCCATATATTTGCCATGAAGTGATGGCACTGGATGCCATGATCTTAGTTTTCAAATGTTGAGTTTTAAGCCAATTTTTCACTCTCCTCTTTCACTTTCATCAAGAGGCTCTTTAGTTCTTCTTCACTTTCTGCCATAAGGGTGGTGTCACGTGCATATCTGAGGTTATTCATATTTCTCCCAGCAATCTTGATTCCAGCTTGTGCTTCATCCAACCTGGCATTTCACATGATGTACTCTGCATATAAGTTAAATAAGCAGGGAGACAATATACAGCCTTGACATACTCCTTTCCCAATTTGGAACCAGTCTGTTGTTCCATGTAAAGTTGTAATTGTTGCTTCTTGACCTGCATACAGATTTCTCAGGAGGCAGGTAAGGTGGTCTGGTATTCCCCTCTCTTGAAGAATTTTCCACAGTTTGTTGCGCTCCACACAGTCAAAGGCTTTGGCATAATCAATAAAGCAGAAGTAGATGCTTTCCAGGAACTCTCTTGCTTTTTCAATGACCCAACGGATGTCAGCAATTTGATCAATGGTTCCTCTGCCTTTTCTAAATCCAGCTTGAATATCTGGAAGTTCACAGTTCACATATTGTTGAAGCCTGGCTTGGAGAACTTTGAGCATTACTTTGCTAGTGTGTGAGATGAGTGCAATTGTGTGGTAGTTTGAACATTCTTTGGCATTGCCTTTCTTTGCGATTGGAATGAGAACGAACTTTTCTGGTCCTGTAGCCACTGTTGAGTTTTCCAAATTTGCTGGCATATTGAGTGCAGCACTTTCACAGGATCATCTTTTAGGATTTGAAACAGCTCAACTGGAATTCCATCACCTTCACTAGCTTTGTTCGTAGTGATGCTTCCTAAGGCCCGCTTGACTTTGCATTCCAGGATGTCTGGGTCTAGGTGAGTGATCACACCATCATGATTATCTGGGTCATGAAGATCTTTTTGTATAGTTCTTCTGTGTATTCTTGCCACCTCTTCTTAATATCTTCTGCTTCTGTTAGGTCCATACCATTTCTGTCCTTAATTGTGCCCATCTTTGCATGAAATATTCCCTTGGTATCTCTAATTTTCTTGAAGAGATCTCTAGTCTTTACCATTCTATTGTTTTCCTCTATTTCTTTGCATTGACCATTGAGGAAGGCTTTCTCATCTATCCTTGCTATTCTTTGAAATTCTGCATTCAGATACCCCTGTCCAAGGGCAAAAAAAGATACCCCTCATACTAGGGCAAAGGGAAGCCCTAGCAAGATGGTAGAAGGGGCAAAATCACATTTAGAATCAAACCCCATCCCCACCAGAGACACTCGGAGGACTCAAACAAACCTAGTGCACACCAGGACCCAGAGACCGCCCCCCCCCCCCCCCGAGACAGCCAGAACTCTGTTTGAGTGTCTCTTGCAGAGGTATGGGTCAGCAATGGCCTGTTTCAGGGGCAGTGGTAGACCTGGGTAAGGCATAAGCCCTCTTGGAGGAGGTCGCCATTAACTTCACCATAGAGCTTCCAGAACTTACACAGGACTGGGGAAACAGACTCTCGGAGGGAACAAACAAAATATTTTGCACACCAGGACCCAGGAGAAAGGAGCAGTGACCCCAAAAGAGACTAACCCAGACTTGCCTCTGAGTGTCCAGGAGTCTCCTGCAGAGGCGCGAATTGACAGTGGCCCGCTCCAGGGTTGGGGGCACTCAGTGCAACAGTGCATGCATGGGACCTTTTGAAGGAGGTTGTCATTATCTTCATTACCTCCACCATAGTTTGGCCTCAAGTCAAGCAACAGGGAAAGAACACAGCCCCGCCCATCAACAGAAAATGGGATTAAAGATTTACTTACCACAGCCCTGCCCATTAGAACAACACCCAGTTTCCCCCTTAGTCAGTCTCTCCCATCAGGAAGTTTCCATAAACTTCTTATCCTTATCCATCAGAGGGCCAACAAAATGAAATACTTCATATACAACTTCCCTAATCTATCATTTTTCTCTGACCCTAAGAGCAGTGCGCCCCCTGGTGGCTCAGATGGTAAAGACTCTCCTCACAATGCGGGAGACCTGGGTTTGATACCTAGAGATGGGAATAACTACCAATCCAGTATTCTTTCCTTGGACAGAGGAACCTGGTGGGCTACAGTCCATGGGGTTGCAAAGAGTCGGGCATAACAGCAACTAATACTATGAGTTGTATTTGTTTCAGGTCCTTTGTCAAAGATTAAAACCACTATTTAAAATCTGAAACCAACGGAGCAATGATCAATGTGATGCTTATTTAAAAAGTAATGAAAAGCTATGTTGGTCAAGGAGAGCAAACTTCTGATCATGTAGAACACTTGTGAAAAATCTCTAATGATTACAGAAGTAAGAGTAAGTTGAAAACCTTAGAAGCATGTTTTGTGTTGATTACAGAGGAAGGAATTTTATGTAAGTCTTAGACGTATGCTCACTATTACCCATTAGCAATCATTGTCACTAATCAATCAGACAGGCTTAAAAGTACTTTTAACCTTAACTTTAATCCTGGCGATAGAACTGTCAGTCTTTTTCTACGAGTGAGGAGACTTTTTTTTTACTCTCAATCCCTTTTTGATCCTCTCTCAGACAAAGCTGCCGAAAAGATCATCAAGATTGTCCAAATCTTTTTCATTGTTCTTGATTCCCTTGCAAGTTGATGTTTAATTTGAGAAGGCCTGATTTTCAGTTTGAGTGTTTCTCAGCATGATTTTACCTCTAGTACGCTTTGTATCATCTGTTAGGAGATTGATACACGGAAGAATGCAAGACTCTGGATAATAAACATGATATAACTGTGGGAAAAAAACAAAAATAAAGTACTATAAGAAGGTATCTACAACCATGGCCTAAGATTTCCCAGATTGTCCCAAGAAAACAAGTCTCAACAGCTCCTTAAAATCTACCTTAGATGATCAGGTTGCTTTATTCTTGTTTTACTTGACTGCATTGGGTCTTAGTTGCAGTATGTCAGATCTGTGTTATGACATGCAAGATCTTTCATTGTGGCACATGGGCTTCTCTCTAGTTGCAGACGAGGGCTTAGCTGCCTCACAGCACGTGGGTTCTTAATTTCCCAACCAGGGATCAAACCCATGTGCATTGGAAGATGAATTCTTAACCACTAGACCACCAGGGAAGTTCCCCCTCAGGTTGCTTTGAAGTTTTGCTTAGATACTGATAGTTTCACCACTCCCATGCCTGGTTAATCTATGTAAAAAATAAAGTGTTAGTAATTTCCCACTAACAAACAAACAAACAGGCAAAGCTATTATTTCATCTGTAGTAATTTGGGTTAAGCAACTTAAGTGTTTATTCTGCAATATTATTTACAAGATTGGGGACAAATTTTCAGACTATTTAGATTATTCAACTCCTATGAATGGAATTGTTATCCCCCAAAAGATTCTTTGGCGAGTTATTATCCCTAATAAAAGTTTCATCTCTCTAGACATCTCTAAGAAGATATAGCCCATTGAAGCACAGAAGAGCCATTCAGTAGGAATGATCTAATTACTCCATAGAACAATTAGCCAAGTACTCAATCAATATTAAAAAGCCTTATTTCCACACAGGTAAAAAAATCCAGTAGCTGATATGAGATGCATGCAACTTTATTATAATTGAAGGCTTAATGACATTGAGTTTATCATTACAGTCACTTTTATATATCCCAAGGATATCTGCAGCCTGCTTTTCCAGTACAAGGACAGTTTCCTTTATTTATACATTGTCTAAAAAGGATGATCATCATGGGTAGGGAAAATGTAACACATATTTATACTATTCTTTAAATTGACTGTAGTAGCAATAGCTTGGGAGAGTTGAACTATAGAGTTACAGTAATAACCATCCCTAGACTCATGTATGTTACTACTGTAGTGAGAGAACTATAACAAACTAAGTCATAAATGTATAACCTTAAACTAGTAAAGAAGAAAAATATGACATAATTTGTTATTAGAGGAATATAGCAATAGAGATACAAATGTTCCAGCGTACCAGCCCCAACCTCTGGCGGTTTGGGCCACACCCAGTAAGGAAGGGGTAACAATTTGGAATGTCAAAGTTGATGAGTCCCCAAGGGTAAGGCAGTATGACTGATGTCCTGAGACTAGTCCCCCCCACCCTGAGCTGTATTCTCAGGAGGCTTGAAGTGAATAATCCCAAAGTGGTCACTCTTGTCTCAGAGGTAAGTGGGGAAAAGCTCGCTGAAAATATTCAGCCTTGCTGGTTGAGAGGCTACAGCTTTCTTCGAAGGTATTTTGGTTTGGCTCCAGAAATAGCAAAAATTATCATTAATGAATGGAATGGGCCCTTAAATACTTCGAATACTTCCTAAAGAATGGATCATGAAGGCATCTGGTCCTGCCTCAGAAACATCACTCATTTATACACTCATATCCATGATTTCTGCCCCACCCCTACTCTTTTCTACCCATGACAATATTTAACGAGGAGTTTAAAAAACCTCTGCCATTATGCTTTCAAACTTTTACTCCTAAAGCCATGAACTTATTTAGCCTAGAAGTAGAGTGTTTACAGCCTGTGTTTCCAGGTGACCCATGTCTATCTGAATGTACCAGAGGGGAAAGATCCTTAGGCTATAAGGGAGAGAATTTGATAAGATGACACCCAGGTGCCTACTTTCCTATCACTTACAAGTTTTCACTAAGAATGAAGTCAGCAGCTTCACTTTCTATTTCCTGATACCATACTCAATGACCTCTGTTTTAGGGAAAGTGACAAAGGGCCAGAAGAGTGCAGTCTCATCCATGCAGCTTATGTGACAGCTATTGGGATCAAGACCAGGTGAAGCCGCTCAGTCGTGTCCGACTCTTTGTGACCCCATGGACTGTAGCCTACCGCACTCCTCCATCCATGGGATGTTCCAGGCAAGAGTGCTAGAGTGGGTTGCCATTTGCTTCTCCAGGGGATCTTCCCAACCCAAGGGATCGAACCCGGGTCTCCCGCATTGTAGGCAGACGCTTTACCGTCTGAGCCACAAGGGAACACCCCACCCACCACCCACCCACACACACACCCCCCACCCACACACACGGCCCACACACCACCCGCCCATGCACCACACACACCACAGACACCTCACACACATTGCCCACACCCCACCCACATACATACCACACACACACCGCACACAACCACACTCACACCACATTGGGATAATTCAACATAAATGTGAGAACAAAATGGCCCTTAGGAGACGGACCTGGCTCCACAGATGAGAGCTTGAATCTTGCCACAGGGTTAGAGAAAATGGTGAGGTTACTTGAATGAGGACCTGACATTTGGAGATTCATCAGCTGGAATCCCTTTGTCATTTCCCAAAGCACAAGCAAAGATGTGGGCAGGGTTATTGGGTTGATGTTTTCCAATACTCTTCCAACCCTTGTGAAACTTATGCAGAGGGCTCTGTTCTGTAAGACTGAGTTCTTAGTTTCCTTAGCAAAGGTTACTGAAACTAGGCTGAAGCAAGGTAACAAAGAAGAAACACAACTACAACTTCCCAGGCCTGACCAGGGTTCCAAAGCTCTTCACAATACCCAATATGATACTAACCAGTCAAACTCTTAAGAACAATTGAAATAAACACACAGTCACATGAAGGGACAAAAAAAAGAAAAAGATCTTAAAAGAACAAGAGACCCTTTGAAATGGGAGAACATGCTAATGTGGCAATTCCCAATCTTTATATCTGAAGAGCTAGTGGGTACCCTCTGTATTGGACCTTAATCCAATACAGCAGCATTTGAACATTGGACCCAGCTAAGAGTCCAGGGCAAAGCTAGATCACTGAGCCTGATGGCACTGCCCAGAATGAGAACTACCTTTAAAAAATGGGGAAAAGGAGGATTTCCTTGGCAGTCCAGTGGCTAAGACATTGTTTCCACTGCACAGGACATGGGTTCAATCTCTGGTCAGGGAACCAAGATCCTGAAAGATGCATGATGCAGTCAAAAAAACAGGGGGGAATAAAAAACATTGCTAAAGGATCCAGAAGGAAACCTTTCTGCCAGATTTCAGGGTTGGTCCCAGACCCTTGAAAAAGTTGCATTAAATAGAGAAGTTACACAGCTACACAATACCCTCTGCCACACTCTGACCTGTATATGATGTGTAATATATTGCTTTAGCCTGCACCACAGGGCTTCACGTGTGACACCAGACGTGTATGACCAGCTAACAGCAAATCCGCCTTTTGCACAGCACACCACTCCTCCCTTCCCTGACACAGCGGTGGTGCTTGGCCTTTACAGACAAGAAGCTAATACCCACAGCAACAAAAGCAAGGGCATGTTTTTATCCCTTACATAGACTTGAGTCTGAAGAAGGCTTCTTTCTTCTTGGGCACACTATAGGGCATATATTTTTTCATTCCATAAACAATAACTAAAGAGAAATAAAGCAAGCAGTTACTTTGCTTATAGAACTCAATTATTTTCTATGAAAGCAAACAGTGAGCACCTATTTTTTGCCAAGCATTTTAGGAAGCCTTCTTTTAAACAGTATCAGTCTGAAAATCAGATGGTATTTCCAACTAAAATCCCCCAGGATTTTGTTGTTTTAGAACTGAAAGTACTAGAGGATGTTTAGAATAGATGGTCTCAAAAGGATATCTGAATTGGGTGCTCCAAAGAAGGAGAATGTGATTGCTCTTATTGCTGCTTGCCTAAAACATCACAGTAAATTCCTAATTGGTGTTCTACCTTCTATCCACTGTCTCCTCTCAGATCCATTTTTCCCAAGCTGTCAGAGCCCTCTTACTAAAAAATCAATCTTAGCATTTCATTTTCTCCTTTTTTCTTCCCTCAGTAATCTTCCATAAAGTCCAAACTTGTTATCATGAATCTCACAAGCCTTTTATCACCTAATTCTGACATCCTTTTCCAATCTCATCCCCTTTCCTGCAAAGGCTAGGATATCTTCCTAACCTACAAATGAGAAGTTTAGAAAATGTCATTAATCTTTTTATAATTTCACATTGTCTGTGGCACTGGGACAATAATATAGTAGCTCCTTCCCAGAAACAGTCTTATAAAAACCCCAAAGGAACCAATGGTTAGACTCTGATTCAAAGTACAACTGTTAACAGAAGAATTGCTGTGAGCTGTGGGATTTTTTTTTAAGCAAAGCTACATAGAATATTATTTGTGCCACAGTGAAGGAGATTCAGGCCAGAATTTTAAAGAGCATCATAAAATCTGCTGAGAATAAGCAGTGACCACAAACTTTAACCCAATACCCCTTTGGGTTGTGATAATATAATGGTTCAAAAACGGACCCTGGGGTCTTATGCTGCCATTATTCTCTGAATAGTCCCTTTATTTTCTGGAATAGCCATGAATAGATTTTCAAAGTAAAAATCAAATCTGGCTTGGGCTTAGAGAAAGGAGATGAGAGGATGCTACTGTCCTTTCTGGCTTGCCCTCCACCTGGTCTGGACCCTCTTGCTGCTCAGCGCCAGACCTGCTAATATGTGCACCTTGTCTCGCTGCCTCCTTCTGCCCCAACCAATGTGACTCACATTCTCTCAGTACCTACTTCCAGCTAAAGGCTGATTGAATTATTGCCCCAAGTTTCCCCTGTTGTAGGATTAAACATCCATACCATGTGACATGTCACTTCGTATGACCTCCCACTGTGGGTAAAATATACTTTCCTGCCCCTTTGATACTGGCTTTGCTCTGGTCACTGGATGTTAGTGGACATGACATGAGCAGAGACCTTAATTGTACTTGCATAGTTTGGCTGGTACTTCTGTGCTCCATGAGGAAAATAACATCCCCAGGTAGCAGCTGGTCCAAGGAGAATGATACAACTGGGGTGTATGTAAATGCAACTGATCCCAGCCAAATCCAGCAAAGCCACAGGCAACCCACAGCCCCATGAGCAAAAATATATAAATGTCTGTCTTTGTAAAACCCTGAGTTTTTGAGATGGTTGTACTCAGAATTATTGTGATAAGAACTGAGTAATACCCTATCTAATAAATCCAATATTACCTTGTATAGTCAGACTTTTATCTGTGAAATGGAAATAAGAAAAAGAACCTAACTCAAATGGTTATAGCAAGAAATAAATGAGATAAAAATTGTGAAACCCCTAGGAAGCGGCTGGCCCACAGAAAAATACATTATAGTAATTTTGAGGTTATTTGATCAATCTATTACTTTTGCAAGTGTATTTGCATTTTCAAACATTTTCCCCAAACAGAATGATCACATTTATAAGTTCAGCTAGGTACTCTGCCCACTAATAAGCCACAGTGCCTGTTTGGGAAGGTCCAAAGTGGAAAAATTCAGGAAGAGCTGAGAGCGGAGACAAAACACACATAAGCATTTACTTGGAATATTAGGGAGGCAGAATACATTTTGGAGGACACTCAGGCCAGTCTCCAATGAGATAAGTAGCTTGACCAAAATCCTAGAACTTAGGCTCCTTTTAGTCTTCTCCTGACTAACACAACCAAGACAAGCCTCAACAAGCTCTTCTTAGTACTAAGCATTTGCCTCCAACAAAGCTTCTAATCTGACTCATGATTCTTCAAAGTTCACCTTTGAGGGAAACATTACTGTGTCCTAGGGAAACAGAGGGCTTCCCAGCTGGCTCAGCAGTAAAGAACCCACCTGCAGTGCAGGAGACACGGGTTCGATCCCTGGGTGAGGAAGATCCCCTGGAGAAGGAAATGGCAACCCACTCCAGTATTCTTGCCTGGAGAATTTTATGGACAGAGGAGACTGGTGGGCTGCAGCCCACGGGGTTGCGAGAGTCCTACATGACTGACAACCACCACCACAGGAACATAGAGGGACTTAGAATTAACACTGATTCCTCCAGCTCCCTTTCTAAAGAAATCTATTTCTTTCACTAAGTTCTGAGTAAATATGACTGTCAAAGCCAAATGCTTCCCATAAAAACGTCATTCTTTTCTCTAAGTACTTTAAGCGATTTGAACAAAACCACTTTAAACTCAGTTACACAATAGTTTTACCTACAGCATTTTAAAATAGGACAGCACTTTAACCCAGAGAAATGGATATCTGATGGTGAACTTGGAAGCATGGCAGCAAGTGAATAGTGGAGAGAGATTTGAGAGGGAGAGGAAGGTTTATAAGGTCCTGAAAATCATAGCAAATATTCATTTATTTGTTTAATCTAGTGACCAAGCCAATCACGGTGGCTGAACCAGGACAAATGTATGGAAGTATTTCAAGAACCTGAAACATATGCTGTGCTTCTTTCTCTTATAAAACGTAATAGGTCAAATGTGAGTAGTTCTAATCACCCCTTGGGCATCAAGATTCTGGTCCTGCTAACATGTATGCCTATTCTGAAGGAAGCTAATGGTTTTTTTCTATAAGAAAACAGAAGGCCATGTATTGTGCGCCTCCTATGTACTCTTCTAGGAGTCTTACAATGTTACAAAGCAGGTAAAGCGCCAGCTTCGTGGGCATATGACAAGTGCGATCAGATAGAGCCTTTCTCTTAATAGCTCTGTTGTTGCCATGTTGAAATTCTTAATGATTCTAATTTTGAGCATGTGTTTTGTAAGTGAAGTTCAGTGGGACAACAGGGGATGCACATGAGCAGAATAAATACATGCATGTGTCAACTATAACTTTCCACTCCAGTCACATAGCCTTCATGGCTTCCATGACATGCTTATTTCCCTTTGAGTCTCACTAAAACTCAATGCACAGTGGGGCCACCAGAATTCTGTGCTCATGTTCCATATGACACAACTATGTCATATGTGTCAGTAGGGTCACTGATACATCGGAGTCCATGCCCTACCCTTTTGAATGGGGCCTTGCTTGGAGCACAAG